TCTTATTGAACTCTGAGTTGTGGGCATTTTAATGTAGGAAACAGCCGTCCCTGTGCCAAGGGAGTGCCTCACAAGTTCTGAACTTTAGCATAGTGCTAGTGTAAGAGCAATATTGTCTGGCTTGTTCTGGTCAGACCTGACAAAGAATGTCTTGCATTCGGAAACTTAACTGGCTCTATATCAAGTACACAGTCGGTCCAATAAAAGATATCACCCTATGAAATCCTTGCCTCTCCCTTAATAAAGTGACATTTATTAGAGCCTAGCAGCTAAGGTAGGAGAGAACAGTTTTACATTGGTATTGAAAAAGGATGGTAGTTGATTAAGTGACAGGTATTTGAAGATCTTCAGAGGTCTGAAATGTTAGCAAAAGTCAAGGTGCACATACCAGTTGGAGGAGTGTAGGTTGGCTTATTGGTGTGTATGATAAACTGAGAGCATGACATCACAGTATTTCACAGAAATATTATGTCAACTGTTGTACTGTAAAAGTTTAAAAATATTAAAAAAGCATTTTCAAAGCCTATACACACATAAACATACTTGCCCTTCTATACACACGTATGCGTGTGTGCGTGCGCACAAACACACACACACACGAGTAAGCAGAGAATCCTACTATTAGTCATACATTTCTAATTTGGCTTGAAATTCAGGAATACTTGACAGCTAAAACTGCAAGACATCCTCAAACAAAATGCAAATATGTAATGGCAGTGTTTAAAGGTCTATGAATATAAGATCCAAATTTATAGTTGTCATTCTCTGAGGTCAGAGCTATCCTTGGGAGTATTTATTTTAAGGGAATAATAATAACAGAAAAAGATTTGTTTGGCTCAGGCATACCTTTTCCACATCTTTACTGGACAAAAGATGAGTGTTGTGAATCAGTCTGGTAATCTGACACACACTAACTGGCTGTGTGTTAATGTTATACATTTGTGGTCAACTATATTTACTTGATTTTTGTTCAGTTCATAACTGATCAGGATTTTCTTCAATTCAAAGAGATATAAAGTCTATTGAAATGAATCTAATTGGATTTAGATGTTCAAGGAAAAGATGAAAATTATTTATGTCTCATCCTCAAAAGACTGGCATGCTGACATTGCATAAGTGGCTTTCTATGAATATGTCCTTAGAACCTCATGTAGTATCAATCATTAGACAGCATAAATTAAAGTACATACCTTAACTTCAACTAAGCAATGCCATACAAATCGTATCAGCTGAGGACCTGGTATCTCATTTTATAATAGTAACATTAACACTTACACATGTCTTATTATATGTGGGGAACATTTTTTGATATCTAAAAAACTTCCACAAACCCATGGCTAAGAGGTCGATGAAATCTGTATGGAGGTATTCTAGGGTTTAGGAAGCATTGCATATAAAACTGTTTTTGGAAGTTATGTTTGTTTTTCCATGATGCCAATATTTTGTTAGTGCATAGCTTTGTATGGCTCTTTTAATAAACAATGCAGAGGCAAAACAATAGGCGAGACTGACTATTTTTAGCTGTTAATTTTCCTATGAAAGTTCCGTGATTCCTGTGAAAGTTCCAGGGTTCATCTGGAAACACTTAATTTTTAAACTATTACTCTATTTATAGCACAGTATTTTGAAGGAAAACCAAATAAACTAAATGAATTGTTATTGCAACTTTTTGTGCCTTAGATTAACCAAAAAGACACAATGAAAAGGACCACAGAAGGATGAAAAAGACTTATAAGGCTATAAGTACTGATCTGGTTTCTTTGAGTGATGTGTGTTTTGAAACTAAGAAAATGAAGTAATGATGCATGTTTAACCGTACAATTAAAATCAACTTTCATAGTTCCAACTGGATTAATTTCAAAATTACTTTTCTACTGAAAAATCATTCCTGTAGCTCTGTTACATGGTATCATATTACTGCAGACAATGACTCCTTTGTCATGCTGTCTTCCTTTAAATGTTTAAAGAACAGAGTGGCTCTTTTGAAATAAGTGATTCAAAGGATTTTATGATACAAAGGATTTTATAAAGTAAACTTTAAAGTTGTTTTATGAAGTAAATATGAAGCAAAAATCACTTCTCCCATCATATGTAAATATAAGATTGACTCAATAGCCAATACACAGGCTGAGTCATGTGGTGTTTGAAATCAACGATATACCCTACATTTTGTGACATAAGCCTACTTCCAATATAAAGACACTGGAGTAGCAGGAAGGTGAAACCTGCTGAGTCTCCACTACTTGGAAGACTAGGGAAAATTCAGACTTATGGAAGGATGGAGAAATGTGGATGAAATTCAGGCCAAGTGAAATGAAAAGGGTGGAGAAGCTGCTTATCAAATTATAGGGAGCAATCAGGTCCTGGTGTATTGTTATAAGAAGCAACAGAAGCCTCCACAACTCAAAGCAGATGGGGATCTATCTGAGAAGAGGGAGCAGGAAAAGAAATAGCAAGGCCCAACAGAAGTCAACTATTAAGAAAGAATGCTCTTTTGGCAAACAATTCAGACCTTTTGTTGAAAAAACAAAAACAAAACAAGCCATTTCCCTGCCCCTCAAAAGCAAAAACCACCCCTCCCCATAAACCCCCCCAAACAAAACAAAAAACAAAGAAAACACTAAAACAAAAATAAGTCTCCCACAACTTGGGGGTTCAGAAAAATTCAAAACCAGAAAGCAGACTCTTCCTTTTAGAATTATTCTGTATTTAAAACAAAACAAAACAAAAATATATTTACTATAAAAGAGGTTAGACAGAATGGGTGCTGACAGATGTGGCAGGGGGGGAAGGGGGGAGAAGTGCTTTAGTGGAGGAAGCAGTGCGTTAGTTGGAGCCAGCTCCACAGAGTCTATATACATTGGGAATTTCAATGGGGCTTTTTGAAGCTTGTATCTAATAGCTAATTCAATTAGCTATTAGATAAAAGTGACAAAAAAGCCCCATTGACAGCTCAAACTGTACACACATTGAGTGAGCTGGGTTCAACTAATACGTTGCCTCTTCTGGGCATGTGCTGGGCTTGGAGTTTAAAGTAAGGCTCCGTTTTGGTTTTCTTTTTTATGTCTGGAAGCAGTCAGTATTTCTGAGTAGCCCTAACCTCTCCCACTCTTCAAATAACAGTTAGTTGGATATTTTGTGACAACCCCTCACCACCCATCGTTTTGTTGCCAAATACCTATTGTTTGAATGAAAAAAATTATTGGAAATCTATCTTGGTGCAGACTCAGGCAGGATTCTGACAAGCCTGCCTAATTGGCTGATGGGCTGCTGGGGATTCCAGCCTACCAAAATCCCCAAATTTGGGATAGCCCCATCAGGACATCCTCTTTCCCTCACGCTCTGTAGCAGCTACAGAGTTGAGAGCCTGGCAATACTGGAAGTTCTAGCAGTACAGGAAACTTGGTACCTCTTTATTCTTTGAAACTTCTAAACACTCCACAAAACGTGGACTAGCCCAACTGGAAATGAGGCAATGATGGAGGACATCCTCACTGAGGTGTCATCACCTCCTTCCCAAGTTTGATGCATGTGGTGCTGGAGTAGGCAAGCAGGGTGTGCTTTTCAGTAGTAGACTCAGACACGCCAGGGAAGTCATGTAGACATGCTCTTCTCTTGGACGTCTGGGAACCATTACAGAGATAAAATTGACAAAAATGTCAGTTCCACTCAGCAGCTGGAAATGCCAGTGAGGGTATTTCATTTCATAACTACTCCCCTCAGCCCTTGTCTCAAACCAATGTATTTATGTTTCCGATACATATGGAGGGGGATCAGTTTGTTTAACTAAAAAAAAGATCCTGAATCAGAAAAGTCAGAATTTCCCATGAAACAGAAATACTATGTTTCTGCTAACTTTACTTACATTCCTTTCAGCCATTACTTGAAATTAACTAAAATGCCAAATTTGAGACCAAACTACATAACATCCTTTCTTCATTCCCATTACGTAAATAGTTTAATCTTTACAACAAACTTTGCAAAAAAACCCTGTCATCTTTGAAGTTTCATATTTGATTAAAAATATTTAAAGTAATTTAACTTTTTAAAAATATACTCTTCTATATAAATCGACATAACTTTAGAACATACTGCCAATATATTTCCACTGCTCCAGTGCAATTTTACTCTAAGAGCTCCACAAGGCAAAATTTCATTTCATTCACTCCAGGAACAAATTATCATGCTAAAATAAAGTTAATAAAACCTAGGTCTATATTCTATTATCTTAAAATCTGTACTGCATTAATGTTGTGGTGACTTTTACTATTTTGTATTTAAGGTTAATTTTCAGGATATTACTTAATCATGACAATGTTTATTAAAACTGTCAAAACCGTTTGACATTTTATAATTTCTACTGATGTTTGTTGTATAACAAACTGTCTCTTTTGTAAGCCTCATTTATTATTCCTTGATTGAATTACGTAATTCACTTAATTGTCAAAACATTTCAAATTGTTTAAATTTATCTGAGTACAGGAGTCTTCATTAAGTATTAGTTATGCTAACTCTCAGTCATTGTTTAGCCAAGTTATACAGACTTTCCCAGCCTTATAATTTTTACTTTTCTCTAAATTCTTTCTAGCTTATTCTTTTTGGCATGAAATTTTATAGACCTGAAATGCAGCATTCTGTATGCGATCCTTCCAGAACTACGAAGAGAAGGACAATTGCCTCCTAGCTAATTATGTAATAAATGTAGCCCAAAACAGCATGACCTTTTCTGATATTTCAAACCAAAACTTAACTTCTTTTTCATTATCCTTGAAGATTATCTCCAGTGTTACAACATCTACTTTCTCAAGCCTCCTTACCCTCAGTTCTCTTTCTTGGTAAGCTACCATGGGAATTGAGCTTGCCTACTTATCTAGGATCTCTAATCATTTTTTCATCATCTAAACACTTGAAAGTGTTTAGTCTGCAAAGTCAAATGCCTGGATTTTCCCTGTTTCCTTGTATGTAAGCAGATAAGAAACTTACTCATTACTGCATCTTACCAAGTGTTCGGAAAGGCCTTTGGTTTGGCGTATGTGAGAAGAAACCAGGTTTCAAAGCATTTGTGATCACAATGTCAAAAAACTCTGCAAAATCATTCCTAGAAAAAAAGAGTCAAATGTTTCATGTCACTTTACTTGCAGGTGTTTTATGCTCCCTGTTTTATCACAACCCATTTTCTTCTATGTTAATGTATCACTGCTATTCTTTAGACATCCCATGACACTAACTCCTATTATTATTGCTTATGTATATTACCATGGTGCCAGTCATGAAGGAAGGACCTATTGTAGTAGGCACCATGCAAACAACCACTAATCAATACACTGTCCCTGCCCCATGGAGTTTATAATCACAATATGAGAGACAAAGTATGGTATAGAGGCATGGGGAGTGCAAGGAAACAATGACACACAAACAGGCCTGGCATAGGGATATGAACTTCCAGCTTCCCACCAAAATGCCTCAGTCCTGTAAACTTGCTTGTTGAATTCATTATTCATTTTGAAGGATGATTTTCTTCTAGTTTCTATGTTAAAACTGATTTTTAAAAAAAGGTTACAATTACAGGATGACCACTTATGGCAGGGGCATGCAATTATTTTGGCTGGAAGGCCGCTTAACGAGTTTTGGTGAGGTACTGAGGGCCACAAGGGTAGCCCTACCCCTCAACAGGTGCCGCAACCATCACCATCTTGTGACTGGAAATCCTGCACCCTAACCCCTGACCTTTGGCACTGGGACTCTCTCCCCTTGCTCAGGAAGTACTCATGTTGGGGTGGGGGGGTTGCTTGTATACTGTGTGTGGAACAGTTGGGAGGGTTGGGGGAGTATGTGGTTGGGGGTATGTGCAGGATGTGGGTATGGTGCAGGTGTGGCGTGTAGGGGCATAGGAGGGGTGTGTGTGGAGTGTGGGGCATGTGTGGGTATGGTTGAGGTGTGGGGTGTGTCGGACTTTTGGGTGTGTGTGTGGGTATGGTGCAGGGAGGGTGCGTTTGCAGTGTATATATGGATGTGTGAGAGGTGTGGGATGTGTGGTTGGAGTGTGGGGTGTGTAGAACTGTTGGATGTGTGTGGTATGAGGAGGACTGGAATGTGTGAAGGGGGTAGGGTGTGTGAGGGGGTCCAGAAGCATGTATGGGGAGGTGCAGGTGCGTATGTGTGGGGTATAGGTATATGTGTAGGGGCTCTGGGGTGCATTTGTGGATATGGTGGGGTGAGTAGTGGTGTCTGTGTGTGTATGTTGGTATGGTGAGGTTCAGGATGTGAGTGTATGTGTGTGGGATGTGTATGATGGAGTGTGAGAGACAGTGTGGAATGTGTGTGGGTATGGAGTGGGGTAGAGAGTATGAGGGGGTGTGGATGCATGTGTGGGGTGTAGGTGGGTTGGGTGTGCAAATGTAGGGGCTTCCCCCCTGCCTGCTGTTTGTGATGTGGCTGCGCCCAGCCCCTCCTTGTAAAAAAAGGGAACAAATAAAGAAAAAGGAAGAAACTGGGTTATTTTTTTCAACAGTACATTTTCTTGAGAATCCTATCCACACCCAGTAAAACAAAGTCCTATTTCTCTTCTACACCCACAGTAAATTATCTCTAACATCCAGAGATTTAGGGCCAGATTTTCAAAAGTATTTAGGTGTCCACAGTGGCCTAACAACCAGAGCTGGTGGCCTAGGAAAACTCTGTGGGGGGAAGAAGTGGGGGGACACAGTTCTGAGAGCCAGGGTTGGAGGAAGTGAAGCAGTTTTACCCATATTGGAAATACCTAAACAATCCCCAACAGAGTTGCTGTTGCTGCTGCAGCATACTTTCCTTGCTCTGGTTGTTGCACTGAAAGCAGTAGCAGCAGCCAGGGACTGTTTTGGAGTTCCCTGCATGGGTAAGCCATGAGACTGCTCTTGTTGTGGCAGGGGTGGGGGATTTGGAGACCCCTTCTAACTTGATATCCTGGGTGGATGCACCTCTTGCCTGCCCTTATGCTACTTGGTGTCCCAAAATGAAAATGGCCACCCACTGGGATCACCTAGGCAAACTCTCATTGAGTTCAGTAGGTGTTAGACATCTAGGTGCATTTGAAAATCCTAGTAGGGATCTATCTAGCACTGAAAAACTGTCTGTTGAAAGTGTAGATAGACACCTAGGCGAGAGACAGATATTGAAAAAGCCTAAGCTAGAATTGATTCAGTCTTTGTGGAAATTGAACCAGTTTGCAAGTCAATAGACTTGCAGGCACATTTCCAGGACTTCCCTACAGTGACACAAGCCAGAAGCCCAGGGTGCTAGAGCAGCCCTCCCTTCCCTTTTACAGGGAAGCTG